TATGAGAAGAAACATGAATGTGGATATCAGGCAGTCGATGGCTAAAACACTATTATATCAATAGAACCTTTTTGGTTGGACAAAATGTTTTCCCACTTCAGACCACATGTTATTGCCTAGAGTATCCTTTCATTGTTTATCAGTTGTGTTGTTTATCACATGGTCTGTCAGAAATAGGAAAACATTACGCCCAAGCTAAAGAGTTCTATTATGAGAGTAGATGTAAAGGGCGTGGAAATAATTACCTGGTCACTGATCATCTTGAAGAAAGTAAGGATTTTGTTGGCTAGAGGTTTGGCTTCCGTAAACCCACAGCACCTCATGGATATTTCCAAAACTGGCAGAGCATCAGGAACGATCATTGCCACTGGTCTTAGTAAAGCCTCAAATAATAAGGAATCAGAAAGTATAAGTTGTCTCACCTTAATAAAACGCCCATAATGCATTATTCGGGCTTTTTTTAAAAGAAAATTACAGCTGTAAATTTCACAAGTATTACTTCCTGCGATAGGCTCTTTCGTAAAGTTTGCTTCAGACACACTACCACTACATTCACTCAGGTAGGTGGGAGGGAGATGCACTATAGGATATAAGATCCTATGCAAGATCCCTATCTAGTGTATGAGATCTACAAAGACCTTTTTTACCTTCAAATTCTCAGGGATATATGCACTGCTGTTGTAATAGGAAGACATAGTCATGAAACACCCATACATCTCACTTGCAGCCATCAGTTGACTGTTAAACACAATATTCCCCAATAAGGGCATGGTGAAGCTATCGGGTGTGGTATCCTTATAGCGGGCAGCACCCTTGATGTCCAGGAATGTCACGTCGAGTATTTGGTCATCATAGGAAGAGGTGGTCTTCTTGGCTGGTTTATTGGAGGTTTGATAGTAAGATGATTCAAGGATGTTGTCTGTTTCAGTAATGGATAGACGACGTCTTTGATGTTTTAATTCCTAGAGGAAGAAAAAAATATATTATAAATAAGGCGTGCACCTTTGCAATGCGAAGAAAAGTCAATCAACATGACGGTCATGTCACAAAAAAATCATGCACTTGGCACGTGCAAGAATGGAAAGACGCCATACATTGTACCAATAATAGCGTGTGATATGAATACTTAACCAATCAGAATTGCTCAGCAAGGCACACTAATGGCGACGCCTCTCATAGAGAACATATTCCGGGGGGAAAATGCTGACACAATTGAAACAGATTAGCATACCTGCTCAATGTCTGGTTTTTGCCGGAGAGATTTTTCTCCGTGTAGAGGAGTAAGACTTGTTACACTTGATCTACGTTTACTTGAATCAGCCTGCGAGAAAAAAAGAGGCCCATTAAAATAGAAAATATCCAAAATGGAGAAGAAAGAGAAACGGAAAAGGGTGGAAATGAAAGGGAGAAAGTAAGGGAAGGAAAAGAAGAATGAATGAAAAATAAACAAACAACTAAGTGAATAAAAAAGGAAGCAAGGAAGCAAGGAAGCAAGGAAGCATAAGTAAACTACTTACAGTTTTTTGATCCTTAGTTGAACATCGTCTCACAGTATACTGACTATAGAAGTCCCTCTTAAGAGCTTTCATGGATCCTTTGATCTTCTCTAAGTGTTGTCCAAACACAGACAATACACCTGTGTTAACTGAATCAATGTTTTCAAAGCAGACCCACGAACCGGCAGTAACCATGCCAGATAGGTAACGAACTAGCATAGGGCTAGCTAGGCTTTGTGAACAGTCGAACATGACCAGGTGTCGCCCAAGAATCTAAAACAGATTAAATAACAGTTTTAATCAAGGCTGTTGTGACGGTGGTGCACGCCTCTCACGTCTGAGGTCTAGTCTGGTTTCATTCCTGAAATTTATTTTTTGGAATTTACCCAACATCGTAAATTCCTTTTTGATCTGTGAGTTAGGAGTCAGCCCAGACGTTGTTTCAGGGTGCAATCTGTGAGTTAGCCGTGTCCTGACTTAGATCAGCCCAGAGGTTGTTTCAGGGTTTGATCTGTGAGTTAGCCGTGTCCTGACTTTGATCAGCCCAGAGGTTGTTTCAGGGTTTGATCTGTGAGTTAGCCATGCCCTGACTTAGATCAGCCCAGAGGTTGTTTCAGGGTTTGATCTGAGAGTTAGCCATGCCCTGACTTAGATCAGCCCAGAGGTTGTTTCAGGGTTTGATCTGTGAGTTAGCCATGCCCTGACTTTGATAAGCCCAGAGGTTGTTTCAGGGTTTGATCTGTGAGTTAGCCATGCCCTCGATGAAATTTCTATTCATCACTCTTTGGTACGGAGCAATGCAAATGAAAAAACACAGCAAACASATCTGTATTGACCTATGTTCGTACTGTAGGTGCATTATACCTTTGACAGCTCCCTAACAGTTTCAGTTTTGCCCGTCCCATCAGGACCATGAGGTGTGCCACACTTGAAAGCTTGTAGCGCCATGTTAAGCGTCAGGAAGCATCGCTTTGTTAATGGAGTCCTGACCAGTCTCGATGAAGGCCCAAGATACTCGTAACCATAGGAAGAGCTGCTACCGAGTTGCTCTATCATACAACGACCAACTCTGTGACTTCTTTTAACTGGAAAAAAAAATACAATATAAGAAATTAAGAAGAGTCACCAATTAGGTACAAACCCATCCTTCTTTAACCCTATCTCCTTCCCTTCTTCCTATTCCGTTTACTTTTGACTCAAAAGATGGGTCTCTCCCTGGGTTATGGGTCTCATAAATACGACTCAAACCTGGAATTCCTTTGTCATTTGCTTGCTGGCCACCGTAGGAAGAAGTTATTACTTCGGTGACCTCTACTTCTGGTCTTAGTTCACTCTGCCATTCAAAACTGTGCAGGCTGAAAACTCGATCATCARTCAAGCCTAAAACCAAACCAAAACGTTACTAATTGAAAAACGTTTTTAGTATAGTCAACTCTCCCCTTGCGGACACCCCGATATTACGCACACCTTGCTATTACGGATAGGAGAAAAATCCCCGGCCAATAGTACTGACAAAGAAATGACCAAAATTCTCTCTCAAAAAACTCTCCCTATTGCGGACGCTCGCTATTACGGACAATAAGTGAAGGTCCCGAGGCTGTTCACTGTAACGAGAGTTGACTATAGTTGGATACCGTGACCTTGCCGTGATCATAACTATGTCATGTCGCAGAATTTGATCAGACAAGCGAAAGTTTGTTTGAAAAATGTTGCAAATTGCATGACCGTGCCGTGACGRTAACCACGACTATGACATGGCCTACGATTCTGAATGGATAACCAAAAAGATAAAGACATCTGTTAAAAAAAAAGATTTTGCAAGTCGAATGAATGAATGTATGAGCAAAACATCTGGGAGCAGACTTTTGTTTCTAAGTTGCGCACAGGGTTCGTGCCGCGTGTCAAGAGGGTTCGTGCCGTATGTTGTGTTTCAAATAAGTATTCTGTCTGTTAAATAGGATTAAACCTTTTACCTTGGGCGTTATTTTTTCCCAATTCAAAATGCTTGTCATTCCCTAGAGTATCATTTCTTTGCTTAACGGTTGCACATGAGAAGGCGAATGAGCATAGATACAACTCAAACAGAGAAAGAGAATGACAGGTAGTTTGAAATGGGAAAACATTACACAACAATGTCTATAGGCAATCATATCTTGTATTATATCTGAACATACCATTAACCACATCTCGATGATTGACAGCTTGGGTAAGGAGGGAGGCAAGAAGCAGTTCAAGTCTCTTGTGTAATGGGCTGTCAGTGTGCCATTCTGTGTTCTTTCTGATGGCTGATGTCAAGTCATCGATGGAAGATAACAACTCAGATCTGTAACATAGATTAGCAATGAAAAACTGAGTACCGAAAAATAAAGTAAAAAAATGAAAAGTAAAACCCGCGCACTAATTACAACCTAGCCACGACCCTTGCTCCTGAAAACAGAGTCAAAAAACTAACAAAGTACCAAGATTTTAAAAGCAATTTTCCATGCAATCTTGAAGAGATCAGCGTTGCTTATAATTTACCCGGAAAAATCGGAAATTTCGGTTGGAAAATCAAATTGTATGTGATATTCCGCTCAGACAGTTCCGGAAAACTTTGTTTTCTTTTGGGGTATTCCTACTTTTCCCGCTCTTTTCAGTGTACCGTGACGAGTGTACCATTTGTCGAAAGTCAAAGTTTCCCGCTCTTTCTTTACCATTAGCAAAACTAATTTCCAACTGGATGGATTGATTTTAATGGTAAGCGCCCCTGATCAAAATTCCTGGAATATGTCTTGAGGTGGAATAAAAAAATTTTCATATTATTACCTAATGTTTGATAGCCCCAATAACCGACCACTGGCCAACGTTAGATTGACTTGTTGTACCCACGTAGCTGCATGAGCTGTTAAGATACACTGCGCAGGGGAACGAACCAACCAATGGCAATGCGAGTCCTCAGAAGATACGACATTTTTGCTGCCATGTCCTTAAAAAACGTGTTTAAGTGTCATTTCAGGATGATGTTACATATTTAAAAAAACATTTATTTCAAGAGAGGAATTGTAGTTGAAAATACAAAGCAACAATTAGTATATGTAATAGGACTCCATGCTGTCCAATTAAGAAATAATTGGACGAGGAAAATTCCGAGGACTGACAAAATTGGATGAGGCCGTAGGCCGAGTCCAATTTGGCAGTCAGAGGAATTTTTCGAGTCTAATTATTTCTTGATTGGGGAGCATGAAATCCCATTACCTATTAATTATATAGCTGCCTAATTAATCCCATATCAACAAGACCTGTCCAATTAAGAAAATAATTGGACAGCTACCTATATGGGATTAATGAGAAGCTGTATAATTATCTTAGAAAAACGTGGGGTAGTTGGGGTATAGCGTGTAAACGTGTTTGCGCGTTATTCCAGGATGGTCATACATGTAAAATGAAACGTTTATTTAAATGGAGAAATTAAAGCTGACAATGCAAAAGCAATTATTCCCTCAGAAAAAAACGAAAGGTAAGTGGGGTATAGCCCTCCAAACCCTCCCCTTCATGGCACCTCATCCCTTCCCCTAGTGCATAAAAAGAGACACACACTTAGCTCTCCATTACTAACATATCCTACCTCGATCAAGGGCGGATCCAGCCAAAATTTTAGGGGGGGGGGGGCTAATTGAGTTTAGGGGAGGCTAATTGAGTTTCTTCCGGGGAACTTCAGCCCCCCTTTGCCCCCCCCCCCCCTGGATTCGCCCTTGTCGATGTACAGCTATTTAAAAGAAAAAGGTTGGTGAATGTTTTGTTGAATGTTGCATTTTTCGTACAAAGCCCGAATTGCATTATGGGCGATGTTTATGCTATCAACGAAAGGTCACAACGATATGGAATTTCCCTAAACTTTGTATGCACGTTTTTCCCGGCATGATTTCTATGAAATGAAATGAAATATGAATATGAATATAATACATTTTAACCTGAGTAAGCAACATGCAAGATGCAGAATGCAACATAAAACAAAACCTGCATATCGGACAATATCCGCCCAGAATTGGAACTTGTGCGGTCAAACTTTGCCTTGCCGCACATTTTGACCAGTAACGTTAAGCTAGAATTAACGAGGTATGACTGATATCAAACTAATTTGGCCGTTTATCATGACCGGCGACTTACCGTCTATTATCTTAAGCCCTAATATATATATATGGTGTTTTAGTCATACCTTGTTTGGTTATGTGTTCCACGATTCCTGTTACATCTGTCAAGCCATTTTGCAGTAGATTCTTAACGCAATCTCCTAGTTCCTTTATAAGGGTATCTCGCATATTCTGTTCAAGGTTAGCCAGCCACCTCTGGGGTCTTGGAGAGGCGGGTATTGGTCTGATTAGTCTGACGTGTTCACCGTGAAGACCCTCTATTCCTGTCACCTCCATTAAATGCGCTGAAAGTAAACCACGTTATCTAAGTTAGATCTAGTTCTAGGTCTTTACATTGGATTCGAAGGTTTTCTCCCTCCCTCCCTCCCTCCCTCCCTCCCTTCCTCCTTCCCTCCCTCCCTCCTTTCCTCCCTCCCTCCCTCATAAAACTTAAAAGGCTAAATTCATTTGAGTGATGTGGTTTCACTCCAAGAATATTCAATGCTACTAACCATTCAGTGCAGCATCAAGAGCTGTAGTTAACTGAAGAGTAGAATCCCGAGGTAACGCAAACTGCAGTGACTTAATCCCAGGGTAACACATCTTGACAAACGGTAACAAATCCTTGGGATTGCGTGACCAAGCCAAGAGACTAAGTAACGCATTGTCACTCAAGAAATAAAGTCTTGGGAATGCGCTACGGGCTTGCTGCATGTATACGTCAACGACCTTGATTAGCTCCTCCTAGAAGCATAAAGAGACGCAATTAAAAAAGCAACAGTGATGAAATATAGCTGAAAAACCAGGCGCTTTCTTGCCCAGGAATAGTGAAACAGTGAAGCATTGCTTCCAATCTAGTAACCCATCCAGGATTTTGCTTAACTGAGGGTTACATGGTTATAAGGGGATCATTTTTTCGTTTAACGGTTGCGCATGACAAGACAAATGAATAGGGATACAACTCAGAAAAAGAAATGATACTCCCTAGCGTATCATTTCTTTGTTTAACAGTAGGGCATGAGAAGAAAATATGAATAAATATTCTCAAGAGATTAACACACATGGTCTGAAATGGGAAAACATTACGCCGAAAGTAATAGGGTCTATTCAATGGATTCTTAACATGTAGTATAAGTAAAATAGCCTACTTCCTCTTGAATCAGTTCCAGTAGATAGACTTTCATAGCTTCTCCTTGAAGTTCCCGCCATCCCTGTTCGCCTCGATTTTTTTGAATGACAGAAACCACTTTAGTGTCTCTAGAGATGACTTGTATAAACTCCTATAGACAGGGATAGAGAAAAAAAATGGTTGCAATTAAGACCCAAGTGAAAGAAAGTAAATGTAGAAATATGGGACAAGGAAAATGGGATAAGTGAGCAGGAAACATGAACAAACAAAGAAAAAATAGAACTAAATACGAACGAACAAAAGAACGAAAAAAACGAATGAAAGAACGAACGAAAGAACGAACGAACGAAAAAGACCCAGGGACGAACAAAACAAAGAACGAACAAAAGAAAAAACAAACAAACGAAAGAACAAATGAAATAAGGAACAAGCAAACAGAGAAGGATGAGAGGCTACAATGATCCTTAATAAAAAAAAGGAAAAAGGAAAGGAAAAACCCTGTATATAAAAATAAGCTATTTCCTTACCCTATACTTGGTATCTATAAGGGTAAAGTCGTTCAGGTGGTCAGGAAATTCGTTGAGGATGTTTGGCTCAGAAAAAACGTTACTCAAATACAGCCACTGAAAAAAGATGGCATTATTTAATAATTAAAAGCATTTTCATACGACTTTGAGAAACACACGGTACAGACATGTGATTTCGTCATCCATATCGTGACAGTGCCTTTTTATAGTCACACAAAATTCACTTTAGATTTTACATCAGGAACGGGGAATTTTTTTTTACTTGAGTATTGCGTCCTACGCATGCGCAGGTATATCCCTTGACACAGGAATCCCAGTTACTTTATAAAGAATAGAGACCTTTAACACGACGTTCTTATTAGGTACCGTAAACTTCAAACTGCATTTCGATATCAGGCGTTTTCCGTCAAACTTTTGACATCTAGCAAGGCGTCAAAACGAAGTTGTTGCTGGAAGAGCTGCCATGTTGAATTTCATTTATGCCAGTGTTTCTCCGTGTTTGCGGGCGTGTTTCAGGGCCTGATCCCTAGCGTAAAACTGATGCTAAAGGTCTCTCTAAAAATATGGAGTGACCCGTGTAAAAGACAAACTTGAATAGTGTTTAAGATCTTACCTTTCTTTGGCAGTCACTCCAGATGTCTACAATACCCTCTATTTCATTCAGACATTTTATCCAATACTCCACGGATGGCTTCAGGTCAGCCACGTAGGGTGACACAAGCATCGACTTCAGGGTGATCAGATTGTCCTGAGAAAAGAAATAAAACAATGTATATGGTATAAAGTGCTACTTGGACAAAAATCGTCTCATTCTTAAATTAAATGTCAGTGAAGTTTCTGAGGAATTAAACTTTGGAAGATTATCGTCCAAGTACTGTTTTTATTTTTCACCAAGAAATGAAGAACAAATCGTTTGTTGTTGGTGTAGTTGCTGCTGCTGTTCTGGGGGCTCAAATTAAAAGGCAAGTTGGGAAAAAACAGTCGATTACGCACGATTAGAATTGTTAAAAAATTAATGCTGCGCGCATTTAGAGGTGTGCAATTTTTCAAAACGCGAGTTGATAGGTAATAAAACCATTGTGCGCACAGTTTTTCTCAAGACCCAAGTTAGGAGATAATAAAAGTATTCAGTGCGTAGAAAAACAAGAATACTAATGCATGTGCGCATTTAGAGGTTTGCAGTTCATCTTGGCTCTACTAAAAATGTTCATAGTTTCTTCATCAAGAATTATTTAGGGACTAATTCATATTATCCTTACCTCGAGTATGCATTTCAGTTCACCAATCCCAATCAATGTGAATGAGTCGGGTACAAAAGCTGGGGTTCTTGGTTTGTTTATGATCTTGGCCGCCTAAAACAAAAAGGTTAGGTTGTTATTAACTCCAAGAGAATGTGGCTATAAAGTGATGTTGAACTGTTACTGTTGACAAAACAATTTTTTGTCAAACTTTAGCAATCAAATACAAGAAAAAAGACAAAAAAGACAAGACTTGTCATCGCTAATCACCACCGTAAGGACAGCAGTGGCGCAGCTTATAGGGTCGAACTGAAAGCATGTGAAGGTGCCTCTGGCAACCGCTATACAGTTCACCGCTATATGTCACTATACCGCCACCGCATAAGTTATTATGCAAGTCAAGAAAAACGCAGTAATTTGATCCACAAAAACATTTCTTAAAACATTAGATAGTTTCGTTTCTTTTAGTTCAAGAGAGAGCTAGTTAGTCAGCAAATATGCACATGTTCTTTTTCCTTATTCAAGTAAAAGCACATTCACAAAAATGCGGTCTTTTGATCAACGATGTCCCATAATCAACACACTTTAAAATTGTGATCGTATCGATAGAACCAAGGGCACTAGGACACCGAACGTGGTTGGATTTCTATAGTTGTTTTTTTCCCGTTCGATTGTTCGAATTAAATTAATTGCTTATCTTCTTATAGAGCTAACCATAACCATATTAACTCTAGGACGGTTGAATATCACTGACGTGAGGAGCATAGCGCGGTCGCGTTGTTGTTGGTACAAACAGAGTCAAGTACGGAACGGCCGTTAAAGAAGTAACGCTCATCGGCTATTCCAACCGTTTGACCTTTGGAAGAAAACGGCTGCATTATAACAGTGAAGGAACACGGACACAAGATAAGTAAACAAGAATAACGTTAATTTATTTCAAATAATCGAAAGGAAAAAAAAACTATAGAAATTCAACCACGTTCGGTGTCCTAGTGCCCTTGATAGAACGGTAACTGAACACGCTAAGTTTCTACATCTTATTAATAACCCCCTCTAAAGATTATTAACAAAAATAGAGCCTGGTTAAGTATACAAATACAAAGAGCGGTATATAACTTTTCTTACCTGATCTAGTGGTATCTTTGTACGCTTCTTTTTCTTTTGTCCATCCTTATGGTTTGCCTTCCCAGCTCCAAACCTCGCCCTCATAAGTGGGATATGCTTGGCCAACTTGAACTCTCTCTCCTTCCAGGCCTTGGACAGATGATTGACCTGTAGCTCTAGTGTATGTTCCTTGTTAGCTCCGGCACATATCGCTGATATAAGATCTTTGTAACGGCTGAGGTTGAAGGAGAGAAGGGTTGACGTGGTGAAGAGCATGGAGGAATCAAAGTCTTGTCCTATGCCTATGAAAAGTGCTTTCCAATGTCGAGGCTAAAAAATATATAAGGGAATAAATTTGTGATTATGATCGCGAGTTTACAGTTTGCATTTTGCGCCACGCAGCTTAAAGTCGTTACGTAAATAGTACGTTTACGTAACATGCTACCTCTCCAGATTTGGTGTAGGATAGCCGGGGTACATTTTGCATTCTACTGCGCAAGCTTAATCATTTATCTAAACCTTTTCCCTTTTGTTTCTTTCTTTGTACTCTTTCTCTATTTCTTTTCCGAGTAACCATATACTTTTTCAAACTCGTTTATTGGTTCTGAACGGAAGTCATGAGCAGTAGAAATTATTATATGAAATTCACAGCCACAGCCAAGTGCGCCGCCACGTTTTATTCGCGTTTACGCGCGTGGCGTTTTTTTCAAGATTGGCGTCCTTATCAGGACACGAAAAATAGAAATGACTTTCTCACACAAGCCTAGAAAATATCTTCCAAATAGGAACTGTGTCGAGGCGCTAGTATAAACATCTTAGGTTGATGATGGTGTTAAGTAGCTCCTACAAGAAAAGATACATGTAACTAGCTAAAAACTAGAGTGAGCTGCGTCGGTGTTTCTAATGAAACCGTAATGATAAAAGGGTAAATTTTACACCGTGGAAATATTACAAAAAAGATTACTAGCGTCCGAAACGTCAGTAATCATCTTTTCACGGTGTAAAATTTACCCTTTTATCATTACTCCTTCAGGAAAAGCGCTTTTATGGAATGCATAACTGTGCATGTGTAGTTCATACTGACCTTCAGAGCATCACTAGACAGCTGCTGGAGTTGTGGTAAGTCCTGGATAAATTCTTCAAGCAGGGCCATCCATGAAGCCAGAACTTCATCAGTAGCACTGATATGAGCCTGCAGGTTCTTGCCAGCGGATATCCACTCGTTGACTCTATCAATAGCTCTCTTAACGTTCACCTACAGTATGGTAGAATGTTATGAGTCTGTGCCTTTTTTCGATCATAGTGTGAAGTGATTGATACTTCCTGTTGTCTTACCTTCTTAAATGGGCTGTTTAAAAAGTCTTTGATGGTATTGGCGGATACTTCACAATAGCGCCACAGTTCATGTCTCTTGTCGATAGAGTCATAGATGGCCAGCACACGTGACAGGTCGTACGAAGTCCCCGTGATGATTTCTTTCCATTTTTTTATGTCTTTGAGTCTGCTGCGAATCTTCAGGTATCGTTCACGTAGCTAGGGAATAACAAAAATAATAGATATAAATAATCGTCCATTCCTTAACCCCTTCATTCATTCATCCATTCGTTTATGCATCTCTTCATTTATTAGCTCATTTATTCATCAATCCCTCCCTCCCTCCCTCCCTCATTCCCTCCCTCCTTCCTTCCCTCCCTCCCATCCTCCTTTCCTTCCTTCTTTCCTTCATTATTCAGTCGGTCGGTTGGTCAGGCAGTCATGATCAGTTAACCAGTCAGTCAGTCAGTATCCCATTTGGTAATTCATCTAGTTCATTTCTCATTCAGTGATTGTGTCAGTCCCTGGTATGGCTGTTGGTCAGTCAGTCACCCAGTCAGCAACTCACAACTATAACTAATACCTTTCTCATAGCCATCAATACACTTGTTGGGTTCTGTTTAGAGTCCAAGAATCGACCAGTTGTTGCGTTCCTACCGATATCAAGCGCTTCCTCCTCTAAACTCTGATTCAAAAATATAAGAAAAAAGCTATTCGTTTAAACAGGACTTCAGATTTTATATATTTGTTGGGGTTTGCAGAGGTAGGAAAACCAGAGAATCCGGAGAAAAACCCTCAAATTAAGGGAGAGATTCATAAGTCCAGGTATAGAATCCAACGTCACTGGGGTGAGGCAAGCACCAGTGCACTTGCACTAATGCCATCCCACTCTTGGTTCAATAGGACGTTTGCATGGTGACGTCATTTGACTCCCATTACCATAATGCTTCCAGAATATTCTTTCTTATTTAACTGATAAAAAGAAATCGGCAATATGGTAGTAGAGGTTAATGATGCCCTCATGCAAATGTCCTATAGTCCCTTTCACAGTTCCCTGCRCCATCTTGAAAGGTAGATGTGCCTTTGCATAGAAGCAAGACTAATGGTGAGCTTGCAATGATAGAGACATGTGAATAATTGTCCAAGGTGTTTTAAAAAGGTCACTATCATTGCCAGCTCACCGTTCGTTTTGCTTTGATGCAAAGGCATGGCTGCCTTTCAAGATGGTGCAGGGAACTGTGAAGGGGACTATTGGTACTAATTAATAGGTACAGTATTTATCTCATAAATCTCTCTTTTTGTTCAGTATTACCGATATGACTTCAGCTATTTTTTCAACTATCAGTGGTCTTTGTAGCTGGACAAAATCAGATGCTTCCTGAAGACCAAAAAGAAAGAATTCCCAGAGTGCCCAAACCTAAAATGAAATACCAAAGAAGGAATGAGTTAGTGTTATTAAATTTATGCCAGTTGGAAAGTTTAATGTTAGTGATAGTTCTTTCTCAAACTCATGAATATTTAATGAGGAGAAAACAAAGCAAATCACTACTGTGACGGTGGTTTGGAAGTGTATTTAATTATATCAAAAAATCAGAAACCATTGCTATTGACTTCAGAAAGGGGGGATTGTATCCTTCACATTGAAGTAACATTGGAAGAATATTCAATTTTAATCATTTCTTTTGTTGGAAGTTAAATAAAAAGGAATGGGTTGATGGCTGGCTGGCTGGCTGGATGAATGGATGAACGGAAGGAAGGATGGATGGATGGATGGACGGTCGGATGAATGGATGGATGGATGGATGGACGGACGGATAGATGGATGGATGGATGGACGGTTGGATGAATGGATGGACGGACGGATGGAYGGATGAATTAATAAAGACATGAAAAAAATCAACCTGCAATTATGATTTCATATTGTGCCCTACCTTCTCCTCAGTTATTTCTTCCTCTGCAGACAGTTGCCGGTAGCAGCTTYGAATAACCTAATTAAAAGGTAAGATGTTTATTAGTATTTCAAGTTTGTTTTTCCTCAGCGTCCCTGGTTTCCATCTCACGATTCTCTTACTTCAAAGAGGTTTTTGATGTGTTCAACTTTCTCCTTCAGAGCTGGCATTTTGGACTTGACTTTTTCAAGCTGTAAAATGAATTCAGCAAAGCCTTTGATTTCAACTCTTTGATCCTTGAGGCTCTGCGAATAAAAAAGGAGTAGACATTTATTATTCACAAATAAACAAGATTTATTGCAGACGTGAATTGTGTTACAACAAGCAAATTTTTCTCAGAAAAAGAAAAAGAGCTCCAGTCAGGAATTTATTGCATCGAACAGGAAAATTTTAACATGAATGCGACTCAAACAAAGAATCTTATTTTCAACAAATGAATGACATATGGTCTGAAATGGAAAAACATTACACCGGAACTAAAGAAGTCCATTCTAGATTCTAATCCAACCCATCTAGATACCTCAGACAGCCTTTCCATGTCAGATATAACTTCCTGTGACAACAACAAGACCTGAGAGGCAACCATTTTGACCATCTGCTTGAATATGCCGTTGAGTTGGGGGACCATTATGTTTTGTATCACATGACAATCTACGTAGAGCAGTCCGTTGGCAGTGGAAAAGGTTTTGATGACATGGGAAACTTGTTCTATCCAGGTTTGAATTTGATGGAGTTGTTGCTGTTGAATGGGAGGAAATGGGACGAAATTACAACAAAACTAAATGACAAAATTACATTCTGGAAAAAAATTTCTTGACGATGAAAAATATGAAAATCACTCATAATATTAATCTTATGAATGCATACATGTAGTTCAAATTTTATTGATACCCTGAAACAACTTCGGGGCTCATGATCAAATTTATGGCATGTTGAACTCACAGAACACTGAAACAACCTCTGAGCTGATCTAAGTCAGGGCATGGCTAACTCACAGATCAAACCCTGAAACAACCTCTGGGCTGATCTAAGTCTGGGTACGGCTCAACTCACAGATCGAACCCTGAAACAACCTCTGGGCTGATCAAATTTATGGCATGGCTAACTAACAGGTCAACTTGGAATTTAACAAACTAAGTTGTTTCATTGATGTGTGTTTAATAATTGTGCATAATTAATATCAAATATTTCATAAAAACTGAAAAAACTAGGTGTGTTCTGGCCAACTAACTTACTTCAATATTGGATGTAGGTTGACCTTTCCAATATTCCACCTGAGAAACGTCCCAAGCTGAAACAAATCGATGAATGTTGGCAAGCCAGTCATGGTTGTTGCAGAACTCTTGTACCTCTTCCATTGATTCAGCAACAAACTCTTCATGATATTTCAAGGCATCTCTGATTTTCTCACTGCATCAATTTGAAAACAAAAATTTAACACTGATACTGAGACTCAGACAGGTGGCCACAGAAAGGAAGAGGCTGGGGATTAGGTGGGAGGCTAGAGCCACCTTCCATTTCAAACCCACCCCTTCCCCCCAACCACCACATTACCACCAACAGAGTTAATAGCCTAATGCAATATTACAACCTCTTCACACCTACGTATCTAAACACACTTTTYAGAGTGTTTTAATGTGCTAACTAAGGACACACATTATACACACACACACAGCTCATAACAGTTCTATTTAATATGCTCATTCAGTTAACTCAAAAAAAGAAAGATAACATGTACAGCTGTATTATTAAATAAAATAAACAAGCCGATTAATTTTGAGTTCTTCAAATTATTACAAATTCAAATTCTATTTAATATGCTTATTCTGTTACCTTAATAAAAAAAAAGAACATATTAAACAAAAAGGTTAACCACTCACTCATATATTATTACATGCACATACATGCAGTACTATAGTGCAGTTTTCGTATGACTGTGAAAAATTCACGGCACGAACACGGTCGTGACACAGCAAAGAATACGCCAGACCAATCACATTGCACGAGAATTTACTCTCCATCCAATCAAATAGCTGGAACACGGCATAAACATGGCATGGACACGGTCACGCCAAGGTCACGGCAATGCCAGACCAATCACATTGTGTGTGAAAAAAATCAGCCAATTAAAATTCTAGAAAGCATCACGGTCACGGCACCTCACGCTTACGGCACTGAGCTTTTCACAGTCATGTGAAAACTGCACTACTGCATACTGTACAGTGTACTTACTCATTATACAGGGTTGGCTCCAGTTTTTCCCTGGTCAAAGGACTCAAACTTGTTCCATGCTGGTCACATTTTTGTCCTTCAATCACTAGAATACTCTCCTGTTTCCTCTTGGAACAAAGTGGCTCTGCAAATGTCTGTCGTACACGTAATTCTCTTGCACTTGTCAGACTAGTGTCAAAATCTTCAATATCTTCTTCTATTTCTGCCTCAGTTCTTACATCTTGGGAAGTGCTGGGTGGAAACTTCACAAAGACCTGTGTCTTTGGCATCCCTTTTCTCACATTTAAATTTTCTGGAGAAACAAGGAAATCCAGACCAATCTCACTTTCATTTTTGCTTTCGCTCATTTCAGGGTTACTTTCTGGGAGTGGAGAGTGATCAGGAACTTTTTTCCTTGCTTCCTTCTCTTCGCGTGCATTATCAGCACCATCATCTTTCACTGGAGTGGTCATGGATAAATTGGTCTTGCTAGCATTAATGATGAAGGATTTGGTTTCTTCACCAAGGTCCATTCCATGTGACAGGTTGCACACAGAAACTAGGACAATGTCCATGGCAGATGACAGTGAATGTGACAACTGCTTTGTAGAAGGGGCAAGAACTAGTTTGTGATTCTCATCAAACACAACAAAAGCTCTGAAGAGTCCATCCCTTCCTGGTCTTGGTCCAGRAAGAGTTACGTCAACAAACTTACAGATGTTGGTCTGTGCAACAGTGAGAAGGTTTTGAAATATAATATGATCAACCAAGGTCACAAAGTTGCCAAGCTTCGTAACTTCTTCTCGGGCAAGCCGGAGGTTTTGCTGTCTAATGTTGTGTTTCTCTTTGGCAATAGCTAGAGATTCTTTGTAATTATGACGGTGGTTTCTGACCAGGGCTTCACAGTATCTCAAATACTCAAAGCAGTTTTCTTCAGTCTTGTCGACAACCATTTGGCAATAGTTAAAAAACTTGTTCAAGTACATCTGGCCGGTATCGCTTGCCTTGAATGTCGCCTCTTCAAACTCTTCCAGGGAGTAGCAGTAATTTGCTTCGAAGGGAAGGAAAGTGATTTTGGCCAAATCATTCAAAAGTGCTGAAATTCTTATCAGAGCAGAACCAAATGTCGGCACATTGTGAAGCAACGACAGCTCAACTTCTGATTTCAATTTGACAAAAAATGTGTGCTTCTTGAGTTCCTTCCATTTTAGGAACATCTTTCTTAGCAAAAAATTCTTGAAGAAGGACAGATTCAGAATTGCCTGAAAAATAGATGCTTCAGTGTACCATTCTGATAAGGTCTGTGACTCGGATGGTCCTATATCAGACACATGGAGTATACTATGTGAAGAGATGATAAAGTGCTCTGGATTAACCTTGTCTTTTGGAACTTCAATCAGGTTATATGGATCATAATGCAGCGATGGGGCCAAGTTCACGTAGGCAAACTTCAATTCGCCAAGAAAATTTCCCTTAATGAAACTTTCAACTATTTCCCTTCCAGTTCTTGGCACAAAGACCTTTTCTCTCTTAGTTTTCTGATCAGCTTGTGCATTCTTTTGGCCATCGTCAATTGTGACATGTATGGAAGTGGCACTTGATGATCTTTTGGGAGTTTGAGGGGGAGTTGGGACCAGTGTCTGGGGAAGATCGACATCCATGGCCAATATCGCCATTCCTAGGGGAACACCCAAAACTGAATCTCTTGCAGATATTTCTCTCACAACATCGGCAAGTGACATTTTAAGGTCTTTAAGCGTTAGCTCTTTGGGTTGTAAAGTCTTCGTTGGGTCTACATCTAGTTGCTTATCAAACATATACATTGAACTACAAGAAGAGTTTTGCTCTCCTCTGGGAATACGAATGCCTTTTTGTACCAAAGTTCTAATCCTTGGAGTTAAGGGAAGGTCTTCAGTAGGCCCAGATGGAAATTTTTGCTTTTTTTCAAGAGCTTTTCCAGTTATTTGTAAACTCGTAACGAAATCTGGAAAAAAGTTTTCCAAACACAGGGAAACAAACTGCAGCTCGTCTCGCCCTTGGATCTCACTATAAGCCCTTTCTGCATAATGGCAAACCTGCTTAGTTTTCAGAATAGATGAATAAGGCTTGGAAAGTTCCAGGACTTCGCACAAATGATTCCAAAATTTTATTTCATTATTCCGTTGTAAAGCAGTGATGAATGCACGACAAATCAACGTTATCAGTTTAGTCCTTTCTTCACTGGCTTCCACATCTTCTCCATTTTTTTCTGGCGAAATATTTGGTTTCTCCTTTTCTATGGCAGTTATTGACTCCCTTGAATCTTTAGTCAAAGGCTGTGAGACCAAATTTCTATTTTCTCCGATGGCTGGAAGTTTTGGTGACGAAGACTGCGTAAAGACGAACTCCGTAGGGCTTGACATTTTCACCAGAAAACGTACATTTGTCCAAGGTATTTAACTATATTTCTACTGATCATTGTAAGAAAGGTAAGATTCCAATACAATTATGTACTGTACTAGACGTGTTTTCCTCTTTTTGCTGTAATTTTTCCACATTGTTTTATGAACGACTTCAAGTAGTCCGCCATATTGTTTTTATTGGTCATTTGGATAGCAACGGTTCAGACTACATCACGGGCGGAAAAAGACCTGGGTACGTATGGCGTGACTGAGAGCGTGACTGCTATTCACGACAGCCACAGCTGTCGCKTTTTTCCGTTTTTTCTTTCGTTCTTCCTTTTTTTTTTWAAAAAAATTTTTACCTAAGAAAAATTATATTAAATTTAGAAGTGTAATAAGTCGTTCTTCCTTTACGAAATGAAAATAACGCCAAGCTCCAAAATATATCGTTCAGGATTTTTCAAATAATTACGTCAGCCAATTTCCGTACTGCCCGTAGCTATTTTCCAGTAATTTTTCCCTGTTGTATTGTTTTAAAAATCAGCTGGTCAGGATGATGGGCACTAGAGAATGTTACACGTGAGAAAGCGTGTCATTTTTCATTCATACTTATTCATAATCCATCCATCTATCGATCGCTCCCTCCCTGCCTCCTTCCCTCCCGCCCTCCTTTCCTTCATTCCTCCTTCCTCCCTTTCTTTTTCCTCCCTCCCTTTTCTTCTTTCCTTTCTTCTTTCCTTCACTTATTTCTTCGTTGATATTCATTTTATGTTAGGGCAAGAGATTTGTTGCTACCTCGTTAGTTTGGTGCTTGAGTTCTAATCCCAACTTGGGTATGTTCAGGTGCTAGGGTTTCTAACCCTAACTTCATTAGTTTGGTGCTAGGGTTTCTAACCCCAACTTGGTTAGATTTGATGCACCAAGTTGGGGTTAGAAACCCTAGCACCAAACCTAACCAACTTGGGGTTATAACCATAACACCATACCTAACCAAGTTCGGGTTAGAAACCCTAGCACTAACCCTGACACTACTTGAGTCCCCCGACGCTAAGAAAACTAGTAGCACTTTCAAATTGAACGTAAATTTCAAAGTAACGGTTTTGTGAAAAATACACGTCCGTGATGGTGACGTCACTTCGAGTATTCTGATTGGATTAGCGTTTTACTAGTAAAATTATCGCGCATTCAGATAGGTTTCATTTACGTATGTCTTCCTGCAATAATATGCCGTCTCGTTTCAATTGTACTAAAACCACGGAAATCGATCCAAGATAACACACGCTAACACGGAAGTTTTGGTGTGTTTATCGTTACCAGCCTTCCACTCCAAGTCAGAGCTCCATCTCTGCCCGTGATGTAGTTCATTGGCAACTGTTATTTCCCCCGGCATGCAACGCAATTAGATGCCACAGGAGGCCCACGGATTAAATGCCCGGCAGTTTTTAAAAATTCGACAATTTCTCAACTAAAACGAGTACTTCAAACAATTTTCCTCTGCTGGATAGATTTCATTTTGACGTGTTTGTCTTTCCTCGGCACAAAATACAAATGACTCACTTTGTAGTATCAGTACAGCATCATTGACGGAAGGGAATCCCAACACCGCTCTCTTCTCTTTCGGGCGCGTAGCAATAAAATCAATGGTAAAACTTTACTCGAAAAGGGATTTTTAAATCCTAAAAAATGAAAAACAAATCAAAAGAAAATTTCCCTTCCCACCCCCAGGTAGTACATTTTGCTCCCTAAAATTTTTGACCAGCGGGCTGCTCCCAAAGTTAGATATATACGCTATGGAATCTTCAAGACTGTCTTCATATCAAAGAAAGATTGAAAAAAACTAAACGATTTGTGGAACATGAAGTATTGACCAACAGTTGGCCGGAAAATAGCTTCCTTCGAATCGTGGTGCAGATTTTTTCACTAAAATGAGTTTTTCGGAGTACAAAGATCGAATATCTGAAGGGGATACAGTTATCGTCTTTCTGGTAAATCTTATTTACTATRTTTTATGTTATGTTTTCAAGTTTTATAATTTTGTAATTATAGAACAAATACAATTTAGCCACAAAGAAAGGACCGCAAAGCTCTTACAAGTCTTACCTCTCATTTTGGTAAAAAAATACGATCTCATCTTTGTTATTTAACATTTTTAAGGGATTTAATTCAATGCAAAGTGTGATAGTTTCGTCTAAGAAAGTTCATCAAACGAAATATGGCGCTCTTCCTCATGCGGACATGATTGGAAAACGTTTTGGTTCAAAGGTAAGATTGTTAATGTGGTTTTCCAACCTCGAATTGTGTGTTATACGGTACTTTATCATTGTTATTTTATCTATTTATTTAATAAATGATATGATGAGTAGAATTGACATTTTTATATTACTTCTCAAGATTAAAATTTACAAAGAAACTTATTCTCAAGGGAATGACACAAGGTCTGAAAATGGAAAACATTGTGCCCAAGCTGAAAGGGTCTATTAGCTTATTATTACCAATTGTCATGTTCCCAAGAATAGCTTGACTCCTCTTTCCCCTACCCTCCCTCCTATTGCCACCCCCTCCCCCCAACCTGTCACTTAACCTTTGTTTTGTTTTGTTTGTTTAATTTATTTGGAGATCAAACCAAGTAACTTGTTAATCTTTACCAAGTGCTGTTTTTTAATGTCAGATGCATACAATGAACAACAAAGGATGGGTCTATCTTCTCCACCCAACGCCAGAACTTTGGACCATAAATCTACCACACAGAACACAGATTCTCTATCACACAGATATCAGTATGGCAGTCATGCAGCTTGATATTAAGCCAGGGTCTGTCRTTGTAGAATCTGGTATGGTGCAAACACTTCAAAGAATGTTTCATCCAATTACCAAACACTGAGAAGTGAGTTGAAAAACTCAGGTCAATTTTTTTAACCAACTTCAAAGTGTTTGGATAGAGGATGTAATATTTTTTCAGTGCTAAAAATTGCTTTTCAAATATTAATGATTATTGGGGAAGTTCAAAGCATAAGTTGCCCAAATTTTATGCCAATCACAGTTAGCAGATCACAGTAGTTCCAAACCTCTGTTCATGCTAGTGATTTTCTTAGTTCCCCCCCCCCCCCCCCCCCCATGAATTATTAATGAGTTGGAGAACATAAAATAAAACAAACTGGATAATATGTGTAGTTCAACAATTAACACTTATTGACTGGGACTGAGGGAAACCATTTGTTTTGTGGTCGCGAGACGGTGATGTTTCATGAGGCGAAGCCGAGTGAAAATCGCTGTCAAGGGACCACAAAACACACTGCTTTCCCAAGGTTCCCGTCAATAAGTGCTTTGTTATATACCAAATGTCAATATTTGATTATTTGATTTCCGTGAAAATCACTTCCAATACAGTCATTACCGGTCAACAACATACAGTATTATTGTTGCCTGCTGAGATTCATTGCAGGAGAAGCGTACATCAAAACTTGTTTACATTCACGTGATATCCTTTCCCCCAATCAGAGTACAAAAAAAACTGGACTTTGACATTTGGTGTATAACAATATAAAATGATTCCTCATAATAAAATGGGCAGGGCTCAAAATAAGTTCAGACGGTCAGTCACCAGTCATGATGACCAGCCAAATTAGTTTTAGCTTGGTCATACCTTGTTTCTGGCATAATGTTACTGGTCAAAATGATCTACCAATGCAGCAAAGATTTGACCGGACAAGTTCCAATTCTGGCCACACGTCTGATTACTGGCTGTTACATGTTTTTTAAGGGTTTGAGAAATCAAAGGGGTGGAAAGGATCTGAAATGTAGTTATTAGTCAGACTTCTACAATAATAAGCATATAATGTAATTATACTTGCTTTATCAAATGTCTCTTTTAGGGGTAATTGGGTGGTGAAGATTGCAAACTTTAAAGTTTCTACCAGTTTATTGTTTATTTAGGACTAAATAATTGTTCATACAAAATGGCTCAGAAGTAAGAAATATGATTTATATATGATTAACCATATATTGCACATTTGAACAAGACATGTACATGTACATAATTTATGTTAATGTTGCACTAATGTAATGAATAATTATTAAGTATTATTATTCATTTCAGTCATAATCTTCCAGTGTTAGTAATAACTTGATGAATTGTATTGAATCACGTTTTTTGTTAACTAAAGGTACTGGAAGTGCTTCCATGACACATGCACTGATAAGAACTGTAGCACCTTCAGGACATGTGCACACTTTTGAATTTCATCAAGAAAGATGTGAGAAAGCCAGGTAAGTGATATAAACAGAAGCAGGGCTTAAAAATTCAATTTAATATACACATACATGGTATCTTATTCCTTCAACAACACTGTCTGTCAGTGGTTGCTGTTTCCATCAGTAATAACGTAACTATAAGATGTTAGTAAGTGGTCAATACTGTCATGGTAAGGTGTTGGTAAGTGGTTGGCTGACTATATTATACTTACTGATGCCTTACCATATACGTTGCTGGTTGATCCTTTCATGGATTATCACACCTAATAAACAGTCAACACTAGAGGTACATTTTTTTTTTTTAATATGTGTGTGTAAAAATGTAATACATGTATAATTACAATACTGATGTTTCAGAAGTTAGTTCTTTGTCAGAGTAAATTATATCATTATGTAATTTTAGTAAAAATACACAGGTGATTATTGAAAATCTCGCRCSCTGATTGGTKGAGAAAYTCACACTATCACACRATAATCACCTCCARCGATAATCCAGAATGGTGGCCAGCCGCTTTGTTCTTGTTACCAGAAAAAATGTCTTCTATCTTCTTTTTTTTCTTTTTCTTTTTGAAAGAATCACCTGTGTATTTTTACTAAAACAATCATTTGCCTCAGCCTCAGTGAATATCGTAGAGTATTTACCTCGCCACTCCGATTACAAGYTGCTTGTAATCACTGTTTTCAGAAATGACCTTCATATTTTTCATGCTTCATGTAGAAAAGAATTCCAAGAACACAAGGTTGACCACCTTGTAACTATCGAGCACAGAGATGTTCTTAAGGATGGGTTTCAATTGGACAACATAGCTGACGCAGGTAATATGGACTGTACAGAAACTAAATAATTACGCTTGTTAACTATTTAAAAAATAAAAACCATCATGGCTTATATTCGACAGAACAAGAAACAACTAACTGTTCATCTCATTTCCGTGTTCATTAATTATCTTACAATGACTTACAAATTTTTTGCACACTCATTGGTTATTCTTTTATCATCAATAAGAGGACTGACAAAAAAGCTGATGTCAACAAGTGTGCATTCTTTCCTTTGATTGTTTTGATCACTAAAAACAAGAAATTGTTTTTGTTTTTGTTATAATTGTAAGAAACAAATGGAGATCAGCTTTTAATGTGTCTGTCCTCTCATTGACGATTAATTTCGTCATCACATTATCAATTGGCAACTCCTGGTGGATCCACACTACTTTGACAATGTGATGATGCAATCTATTGTCAAAACGAAGACCAACATAAAAAACTGATGTTAATTATTTTGTTAAATTCAAGATGGCCAGCCTGGAACTGTGAACGGGGCTATAAGTGCAAGGGTCTATTGAATTATATTCTGAAAAAGTGTTGTTTTTTTTTATATGTTTCTTTAGTCTTCCTGGATCTTCCTTGTCCCTGGGATGCTATTCCTACTTCAAAACAAGCTTTTAAGGTACCAAAACAAGCTTCTAAGGTATCAAAACAGTCCATTTCAGCTTGGGTATTATCTTTTTCCATAATTTTATACCACATGTCATTTTCTTGAGTATCATTTCTTTGTTTATAACAAACAACAAAATTACTCAATACAGTGAGTGTGGAGTTTGTCGTTTACTTAAACATTAGCTTCTGGCTAGGGAGACTTGGCAACAACTCTGTATCCRTCATAAGACTTTATCATTAGGAACCTGCTTTCAGATTCCCAAATGATTTTCTTGATTTCTTTTTTGATCAAAAAAATCTTGGAAAAAGGCTATGTGAACAAGTAAAGCCTACTGAAGTGCGCGCATGGTTCCAACGACCATGCATTTTGTTATAACTTACAAATTATCTGCGCGCTGTTTGGATAGCTTTATCTGTCTGTCCTCTTATTGATGATAAAAAAATAAACAATCAGCGCGCRAGAAATTCGTAAGTTACTGTAAAATTGTTAATTTTGTTATGGCCCTTGGTCTTTAACACGCTGACGCACCAAGAGTCGTGGTTGAAAAGTATTTGTTTTATCCTGCAGAAGAGTGGTGGACGCTTGTGTTCATTTTCTCCCTGCATTGAGCAAGTTCAGAGAACCTGTGAAGTGCTGACAAAGGAGGGTTTTAAAGGTAAGCATGTGGTTCCCGCCACTGCTCTTTTTTTATTTATTTTTATTTATTTCTAAATGTCCAGACTCCTGATTAAACTTGATGGGGGTGAAAAAATGGCTTTGTTTTCCGAGATTTAAAACAGAGTGGCGGCTCTTCATTCGCTGAAATTCCTATTGGAATTAAGAACTTGATTTTTGCTGAGGGAGGAAAACCGGAGAGCCTGGAGGAAAACCCTCGAAGCACAGGAGAGAACCAACTACCAACATACACATAAGACGCTGAGCCTTAGTAAGAGACGAGCACAGTGCGCTTTCAAGGACCTTTGATATGGGTACGCAGTACGCGAAACACCACACGTTAATCCTTAGACAACAAACTTGCATATACTATCAACTTGAAAAAAAGAATATAAAGCGCAAAAACCACTTAAAAAACTCAAGATACGAAGGAAGAGTTTCTGAATCACATACATTTCTTTAGATATTAAGAAGAACGCGTTCCTCCTTTGACGTCACAAGCCCAGTCTCCCTTGTTGCTCGGTCATGTTTTGGAAATTGAACTTTTAACGGCTAGCGAGAGAGAAAAAATAAGAAGCCGGAGCGTCAGAATCAAAGAATTCTTTCGACGTGTTTCTTAGAATGACTTCTATTTTGATATAAATAAAATGTAAAAATAAATGCGGTAAACACTTTAAGCACGTAAATAGGGAGAGGGGGACACATACACAAGGGACGCTCCCTACCCCTCCCCTCCTAAAGAACAACATTGGAGGAAGGCATCATGATGTAACTTATTTTTTTACCCGATGTTATATTTTTTGAATCAGATATACAAGTCATGGAGTGTCTGTTAAGATCATATGACGTCAAACCAGTAACGATACAAGAAGCAGACTTTGGTCCTACCGTACCACAGGTAACGGGCTTTAAACAAAATTAGTAAAAGCGTCACATACTACACTGAATTACCACACTCTCTTGCGTACGTACTTTCGTATGTAGGCCATTTGCATTAACGATTCACGTGACACCCTTCCCTTAAACGAGGCAGAAATTGAAAGAGCATCTCATTACCATTCCGAGGTTTGTGTGAAAGACTGGGTCGAGTTGTATTTGCAGTGCATCATGGGACTGTTTTAGGGGACGAAACACGCCATCTTGAAAATGTCCCCTAAGACAGTTCCACAATGCACTAGAAATAATTTCTCAAACCTTTTAACTTAAAAGCCAAATCGCATGTTTCCAAAATTGCGTCTATTTCGTCACCTAAAACAGACCCACAATGCAATGCAGTACCAACTGGACCAAGTCTTTAACTTAACCTCGGAACGGCTAATTAGTAGAAAGGAAATAAACCAGTTCACTTCGTTGACCCATAATTTGTATGTTTGCGTTTCAAAGGTCTCAGAAAAAGGGAATAATTCGCACAATAAAAAACGGAAATTAGAAGATACAGAAGACACAGTTCCAGAGGTAAGAATACATTTAGTCTTTATCCGCGAACCCTGAAACAACCTCTGGGCTGATTTAAGTCAAGGCACAGCTAACTCACAGATCGAAGTCAGGGCATGCCTAACTCACAGATTGAACCCTGAAACAACCTCTGGGCTGATCTAAGTCAGGGCATGGCTGCGCCTCGGACCGGAACTAATATTGCGCACGGACTTGAAATCCCGTCCAGTACAGTTCCTTTTGGAGGCTTTGAAATATTACTTTACCAACTGTCTACATCTCGCTATTTTATGTGAATAGAGTTGTTTGTTGGTTCTCTCTTGTGCTTCGAGGGGTTTTTCTGTGGGTTCTCCGGTTTTCCTCCCTCCGCAAAAATCAATTCATTGTTATAAATTAAAATGCACCATAGAACCAGGACCACAGGTATGTAATTAACCACTGGTTATTAAGTGCTACCCTCGTAAAACAAGCTAATTTTATTTATTCATTGAATACGTGAGGTAAATGTCCCATCACTTATTATCTAATCAAAAGATCCAATTTTCGCTTCTCATTCTCCTTGCTGATTATCCAATTGCTTCCCACAAATTAACCAAAATATGTGGAATTGATTGATAACACGACTGAGTTACTAGGAAGATCAAAAAATAGATAAAGCAGATGTCTTTTTCAGCAAAAAAATGTATCGTTTTTTACTAATATGATTTGCGGTAAACGTGTGATTGTCTACCAATATGGTCTACTTTGGTTTCATTAGAAAACCTTTAATATTTATCGAACCCTGAAACAACCTCTGGGCTGATTGAAGTCAGGGCATGGCTAACTCACAGATTGAACCCT